AAAATGAATGCCAAAGAATCCTTAATACAGAGAATATTTAAATTTTAAGTAAAGGATTAGTACTTGCAGCTTGAGGTGAAAGGGAAAATTCATAATATTGGTCCGGTCTTTTAAATGTTTAATATTTTTATTCATCAAAGACTTTTTCGCATTAATTTTAATTTTTTTAATTGCATTAAAATATTAAATATATTAATTACTGAGGTTTTTGTCACTTCCTTAAATTTTGCCCTCTTCTCAGCCTGCTCTGGGTTCCTGTAAACCACTGACCCAGCAGGACGCTGTCCACTCTCTGTGACCCCAGTGGGGCTAGACTCCAGCAAGAATAGAAATACTCTCCTTCCCAACAGTCCCCCACCAGCTGCAGTTATGACAGTTCAAGATAGAGAGCGAGAAGAACACTTTTGCCCAGGGTCCCAATCTCCTTCTGAGGCCATAGTCCAATCCTAGGAAATGCTTATACCAAAAATACGTAGGGCAGCAGGGCTGCCATGTACATTTTTTAAAAATCTCTCTAGGTGGCTCTGATTCATCATTGCGCCCCACTTCCCACATTAGAACCATTGAGCTAAATCACAGTTACACTGTGGTTACTCCACAGACCGACAGCATCAGTATCACCTGGAAGGTTATAAGAAATGCATGTACTCAGGTCCCATCACAGAGCAACTAAAACAGCAAGTTGGGGATGAAGCCAGGTATCGAGGTTTTAACAAGGTCTCTCCAGGAGATTCAGATGCATGCTCAAGTTTGAGAAGTGCTGATAGCTTAAATAATCATCTATCGACTAATGTGTTCATGACAACCAGTGGAGGACCACCTACTACCTAGACCACCGCCAGAGACAAGAATAGGGCTTGCCTGAATTTCTCTTGTGTAGAGGTAGGTGGGCCCAGGAGGAGTGATATCATGTCAGCCACTGTGTTTCAGGGACAGAGACCTGGCCAAGCAGATGGTGTCCTGGGGTAACAAGGGAAGAGAAAGCCAGATACCAAGAGTAAACCATCTGACTAGGAATGCCAACAATGGGAAGCAGAAGTGCTAAATCTTTTCTCAAGTTCAAGGGGCAAGTTTGAGGCCAGACAAAAACAATAGTCCCAACTAGGATTCCAAGAATACCCTGACAGTTTGTGAAGTCTGATGCTCATTTTTATTGATGCTTACCAAGTGGCATATGAGTGAGAAGGCCTGGTTAATGACACATGGTCAGAGGAAACAGGGCGAGGCTGAAATGGGCATGAAAGTGTGTGCAGTGTTTTGGGTTTGCCATCCACACTATTGTAGGCATGACTTACCAACCTTTTTTCAGAACAGATGCCACTGGACTATTTTCACAGGATTCACTTCTCTCTAGTCAGAAATATTCAAAAGGTAGGAAAGCTCTACAGTTGGTTAGAATGTAAGATAGTATTGTGAGAAAAAAAATTTCAACCCAATGTCAGGTCTAATTCTCATTGTACCCTATTTTTGTGCATGTCCTTACACATAGGGAGCATTTATTAGAAATTATCTCATTGATGTTTACAGATAAAAACCCACCATATGAAATCGCAGTTACTCTGAAGATATAATTTTGTGAGGAGCCTGAAGTCAATTAGAAACAAGCATGACCATAGTGAACAGGCACATCTGGGGTGGTGACGTCAGAAATTTGGACTCCCCAGAGTTGAAAGAACAAGTTAAGGGGGCGGGAAGGATGGTGTGCGTCGGAGCAGAAGGGAGGGCTCCTTACGAGAAAACCTGATTGGCGTCTCATCAGCAGCTCAAACTCCTCATGGCTAAACCAGAATCATAAAATTGCTCTCTCTTTCCTCCTTTCTCCCTCTGCTCCAAAATCCTGGCCATTTTACACAGCTGGGCCTTACATAGGATATTACAGTTGGTGATATCCTATCACCTCCAGTCAAAATCTTCAATTTCCCACCTATCAAAAGGGAGCTGTACTTTTCTTCGAGACTGTTCTCAGATGTTATCTTGCCTCTTGTGCCAACTGTGGTCCCTCAGTCTATTGCCTCCACCACTCACAAATGACTTCTCCTTCACAATCTAAATGCTCTCCACATATTTTTTTAATGCATATTTTCCTGTAGCTATTTATAAGTCTGCTTTTCCCAAGAGACCACGATCTGTTTGAAGGTAAAAACAAAATTTTAGATATCTGGTGGCTGGTACACAGTAAGAGCTTAACAATTCATTATGTGCTAAAGAATGAATAGAGACACAAAATGGAGCCTCAGAATGCTGACCTTGCATGGACATGTTGAAGAACGTGATAAGAAAAGATTTGTCACAGAAGTGGAATTGCCAGAGTACACAGCATTGTAGATGTTCCCTCCCGTCATCTTTACTACCCAAGTATAAGACTTGGAGTAAGATTCTGGGGGGAGGCCTGAAAGCTGACTAAAATCTTGTGGAGAAGGAGAGGAGAAGATGTGTTTTATGAAGTATGACTTTTCAAGAGGCATTCCGGGTTGAAGGTGGTAGGATTGGGATGGGGTAGGGAGACAATGTCTTCATCTTAGAAAGCATTTTTAATATGAAATGCAGAGGCCTAGTCAACAAAGGAGGTATTCAGAGTATTATATGTCTTCTAGTTCCGGGAGAGGGATAAAGGGGGCATCCATTGTCCAGTCTGCTAAACCATTTGGGGAAACAAACCAAAAGGTGGTCTGAAATTCTACTCAGGATAAAAGATTTGCATTTGGCTGGCACTCTCCAATGTCTCTCTCAGGAATGTGTATGTGATACAGGGGTCGAGCTCAAATGGCTACAGAGGCCAGGTATGTGTGATAACTGGGTGAAGCTGGCATGTGTGACAGATAAGGAAATAGTGTGCAGTAAGGAAAAGAAGAGAGGGTTCATGTTGTATCAAGGGCTCCCACAAACTGCTAACCACAACCACTGCTCAGCTTCTGATAATAATTTCTATGCAGGAGTATGGGCCCATGGTTGACAGATCTTTCTAAGTTTTATGAGAGGCAGACATTCAGATTTAGTATACAAATTCTCAATTTTGAAAGATAGACAATAATCAAATTACTTTAAATCACACTTGAGCCTCCACTGTGTCAGCCAAACAATACACGTCTGAAAGCTGAATCTGGGTCGTGGGTCATTAATTTGTAATTACGGATCATTTGGAAGGAGAAGTAGATATTGAAGGAGACCTTGATGGTTCAGAGGGTGGAATTTACTCACTATGACTCAGAACTTCACCTTCATCTCATTGTTACCTAGCCTTGAACATGGGTTTGATACTCCCATGGTCCTGTCCTCTCAAAATCTATCCTTCCATTGATATCTTCTAGAAGGAAGATCATCCGAATTTCTTAAAACAGAGAATCAACCCATTCACCATATAGGGAATTCAGTTAAGGGCTGCTTTTTGTAGTCAGTTAGAAAGCATAAATTGGTAACTATAATATCGTCACAGGGATATGAGACAGTTTGGGGAATATAATCAATAATGTTTAAATATTTTGTAGGGTGTCAGATGGGTACATGTCTTACTAGGGAGACCACTTCATGGACGGTGTAGATTCCTGATCACTGTGCTGTACACCTGAAGCTGAAGCTGAATAATATTGTATGTCAACAATAATTTAATATATATATATATAGTCACGGGATATGGAGTATAGTATAGGGAATAGAGTCAATGGAATTGTAATAGCTATATACGACATCAGAGGGGCAATAGATTGGGAGAGGGGGTTATCACTTTGTGAGGGGTGAAATGTATAACTATTACATTGTTTTGTACACCTGAAACTAATAATAAAAAAATAAAATAAAATAAAAAAATAAAAGTGGACAAGCATTAACATTTGGTGTATTCAGATGGTACCTGGAGAAGGGAGACCTCTTTTCTGAGCTTCCATAAAAAAAGTATAAAGATTTGCCCACAGGCTGTTTTAGACAAATAAAAATCAGGGTAAAGTACACTTTTCATTAAAAAAAAAAAAGAGAGGAAGAAAAAAAGATGGGTCTATGCAGTTTCATTTCAGAGGTATGGTACAAGCGTGGCACTGGCCTAGGTTTCCACTGGGTGAGTTTCCACCTAGAAATAAATTGCTGGGTGGTACATGTGACTAGTAGTCCAGAGGGTGGGTGAAGAGGAGAAAGGCACCCAGAACAATTAGAGAAATCCTATTAAATGATGCAGAGGCAGAATTGAAAAAAACAAACCTAACAGATCATATGCAGGTTTAAATTGATGTTCTCGGCTCAAATAGCTTTTTTTTTTAATAACCTTTATAAGCCTCGGAAGATTGCAGTTGAAATGGTTTAAAATCAATTTTAACTCATTTTCCATTCATATCATATGAGAGGAAAAAGATAATTTTTACTGGTTTACAGGAGAAATCGTCCAAGGGTTTCTATCCATAGTAGAGAAAGAAGTTGATTTCAGCTCAGACAGATATTTCAAGCTTCAAGGTCTATGTCTGGGTCGAGAGGGATGTGTGCTTCCCAAAGTCCTATCAAACAGGGAGTGTAAATCCATTTCAGGGCTGCCGGGTACCGAAGCTCCCGCGGAACTTAGACCATAAGCAACTCTGAAAACCACCTGCTTCTAGAACCCCTGCTTGTGATTTCAGCCTTTCAGATTGAGGACTGTAACTTCAAGCACATTTAAAAGTATATCCTCCAAGGGGAGAAGATTAAGCACCAGGGAGGAGTGACAGGCGTTTGTGAATGTGAATGTGAGTGTGTGTGAGTGTGTGTGAGTGTGTGTGAGTGTGTGTGTGTGTGTGTGTGTGTGTG